TTTTTACGCACCCTGTACAGGTAGAGTATAGATGTGGATATGATTTTAGGCTGCGAATGTGAGTAAGATGCTTGTCTTTTCGCAAATCTATACCCTATTGTTCTATTGAAACGCATCCATCTTCAAACTGTCACTAATAAATAGACTTTAATTTTTAAATATATTTATTTAAATTTAAAAATATATAGAACGTTGCAACATAAACTAATATACACAATTTCATTTACAATATCTTCGACTTATCTTTTCTTTTTCTACACGATGTCTCTATGCTACAAATGTAAACAAGTTACAAATGTCGTTTTTTTTTCAAAGGTTTAAGGTAAAACATAAAAGCCATACAAGTGAGCCAATAATACTTGAAACTATGAAAACAACAATAGTTATAATTAATTTTTCCTCTTCAATATTCCATTGTTTCTTTGTTTTCTTTACCCATCGATAAAAGCGTGTAGATATTGAAATATCATTTTGAAGAAATTCATAACGATCACTTGACGATACATGGGATGTGCAAAGTAAACCTAATGGATCTTCGATATAATAAGGCATAGCTACTGTTAGAAAAACAAATGATAACAAAAGTGTAATACACACTATACAGCTAGCAATAAATATTTCGTCAAAATAAAGAACAAGATTAGTGCCAAAAACAATGACTATTATAACAAGTAAAGCAAAAATACACGATAACAAGCGAATAGTTTGATGCCATGTATATATCATGGCAATGACAATTGAGTAAAGATAAACTAATGCAAATTTAGTTCGAAAAAAATAAACATTTATATACATTTGAAGAGAACAAGGTAGATCTATAATATTAGAACAACCATTAACTAAAGTTGTTTCAAATGCGACTAAACGAGCGTTTGTGAAAGAATAAGATTTATATTTTAAAAGATAATAGTGAACATAAAATGCTCCGAAGAAGAAACCCATCATTAATAATAAAAAAAATAGAATAAATTGAAGGATAAGAATGCCGACGAATTTTGCGTGACGTAGACTCCATTGTCCTAAATAAAACACAACAAAAAAAAACTTTGATAATTGAAAAAAGATTTGAATTTCAAGAATTCTTATAAGATATGATTAAAACTGTATTATAACATTTTTAGATATTTGTATGTCAAAATTGAACGATTTTACAAACGACATTGACCTATTCT